AAGAAGAAATTCTCCCAAACGAAAAAACAAGCAAGAAGAAAAAAGTGGATGCGACAACAACAGTAGTAGTGAAGATAGCCGAAAGGCAGACCTTTGCAAAGGTGCTTAGGACGATGAAGGCAAACTTTGACCCTGATAAGGCTAACGTGGCAGTCCAAAGTATTGTCACTGCAAAAAAAGGATACATACTTATTGAGGCCAAAGGTGTAGACAATGCTACTGCATTTTTACAGCAAATTGAAAAGTCGGTAGCCGGACCGGGTACTGTCAAAATGAGCAACAGAAAAGTGACATTAGAGGTCCGAGACCTGGATGCCATTGTAGAGGAAGATGAAGTCAAAGACGCTTTTAATAGGACTTTTGGACATCAGAGCCAGGAGCCAGAAGTAGCTCTCTTAAAGCCAAATGCCAGAGGACAGAGGCTGGCTCTAATAAAGGTGGACGAAGCATCTGCCAGACAAGTAGAAAACAAAGGCAGGTTACGAGTTGGCTTTGTAAGCTGCCGAATTCGAAGAAGAATTGAAGTAACCAGATCTTACAAATGCCTGGGATATGTACACATCTCAGGCAACTGTAAGAACGAAAACAGATCCAAGCTTTGCTTCCGGTGTGGAAGCTCAAACCACTGGAAGAAAGAGTGTCCAGGCCCAGCATGGTGCTTCCTTTGCCCAACAACGGACAACAAACACGAAGCAGGCAGAGAGAGCTGCCCTCTATTTAGAAGAGCCCTAAAAGAAGCCAGGGATAAGGCCCAAGCAGGATTAAAATAAGGCAAAAAGGCCTTGAGTTAAAAGATAGGCTAATGTGGACCCACGCTGCACTGGGTACATTTTACCTATCAGCAAGGGAAATCATTAAGCTTATAGTGGTGCTGGCTTAGTAGGCTGTCTGCTATGAAGCTCTAGACAAGGTGCTGGTCCTCAGGGACCCCGAGTTTTTTTTAGGACTCGAGAGCATCAGCACCTCTAGCAAATGGTGGTGAGTTCGCTCGTTAATGCCGTGAGACGCGATGGTCTTCCTGGTGGCTTCACCCTGAAATAATGTTAACGCGGTTCCGGGGTTGATCAAAAGCTACGCGGCAATGGGTGAGGGGGGGGGGTTTAGTGGGTATGGGTAGTCTAATAAAAAAAGTCCACCGAGTCCTATACTACCGCTGTCTCTGCGGTGTGCTTAAATACATTTCTGCTTCCTCCACAATAAAAAAAAAAACTACTACTACTGCTACTTCTTTTACTCCCGGTGGAGGTTTTGCTAGTTTCTCCATAACGCATGGCTGACAGGGGCACCCTCTTAAAATAGGAGGTGTAGACAGGCAGTGGAGGCAGCCATTTGCAATGATGGCAGGGGGAGTCGATCAGGAGGCGTGGGTGGCGTTGGCATGTGTATCTGTGTCTTTGCGGACGTGAGCCTTGTGCTTTCTGTCTTTATTGATGTAGGTGTGTGGCCTGGCGTTGCTTATACTTTTTGCTCTTTGCTCTTTGTTGCTGCCGTTGGTGGTGCTTTACTGCTTTATGTGGGCCAACAAAACAATCACCCTGTCATGTGTATGAGTTAGCAACGGTTAAAACATTCTTTTAAAATACATGCATCAGACTCTTACTAAACAAACACAGGTATACTCAATAGTCGCTTCGGTTTGTATACGGCGGGGTCTCTTCTTAGCTGGCGTGGGGGGCCTGTCAGCAGGTAAAGCCAGACGATGAGGCCCATTATGATATGATATTTATTAACAAGACAGATCGAGAACACGCTTGGAGCTAAAAATGAAAAGTATGCGAACACGGCAAACATTGTTAAAGAAGGTCTCAAAGCTACTCTGAAACATCTGAAAGCTGCTAAGGTTATCAGAAACGGCTTTTTTCTGAAGAAGAAATCTTGACAAAGAGTTAGACGTAGTGCTTTAAATCCCTACAGTACAAAGAATATAGGAGAGATAATTTCTGTCAGCATATCCCAAAAAGAACCCTAAACACTTCTCTCAAGGTAATAGAACAATTTAAGAGTAACAGGGGCCCTTTAGACAGCCCTGAGAAACGCCAACAAGCTCTGCTCTCTAAGAAAAAGAGGACAGGCAGAGGTGGAAGCTGCTCTATATTCAGAAGAGCGCTCAAAGAAGCCAGGAAAAAGGTCTTATGAGGACACATCTAAGGCAACACAGGCCTTTAGTAGGAGGGTTAGGCTTATGTGGACCCATGCGGCTCCGAGTACAGTCACTTATGAGCCAGGGAAAGCATCAAGCAGTCAGTGGCACTTGCAAAGTATACAACCTACAAAGGAGAGTTAGACACTAATGTAAATCCTTAGGAACCCCAAATCCTTTTCAGGACTCAAGAGAATTGGCACCTCTAGCAATTGGTGGCGAGCTCGCTCGTTTTTGCTGTGAGATACGATGTTCTCCCTGGTGGCTCCACCCTGAAGTAACGCTAACGCGGTTTCGAATTAAAACAAAAGCCATGCAGCATGAGGGGAGTTTAAGTTGGTATAGGTTGTCTAATAAAAAAAAAATCCACCGAGTCCCACACAATAGCTGTCCTTGCGGTGTGCCTCAATGCATTTTTCCTCCCTCCACAAAATAAGGAAAAAAAACTAATACTTCCACTCCTTCCACTACAAGTATTACTACTACTACTACGACACCTTCTAGGGGCTGCAAGACCTTGTCGCTGGTGAGAGTACCTGGCTTGGAATGGGATAGGCTCTAAAGAAATAGGTGAACATCCGTCTGAATGTAAGAGAGACTGGGTTTCCCCGAAAACAAAAGGAAGAACAAAATAGGGGGAACTTTAAAAAATACGTAAGTGTATGAGTAGTGTATACGTGCAAGGACTAGAGCTCAAAGCACTTTCTACTTCATTGTGTATAGATGTAAGAGATGGTTGTAACATCCTTCTTAGATACATACATTACACTCTTACTAAGCAAACGCAGGTATACACAGGTTTTTGAGAGGGACGTTTGATGCTTATGGCTGTCACTGAAGTTTTTAAGTCAGTAAGGGAGGCGTGGAAACTCTTGCATAAGTTGAGAAGTGCCTGTGTCCTGGTAATTCTTGACTTGAAAAATGCTTTCAACTCCACTTAATGGTCTGACATAACGAGGGCCTTGAGAGTGTAAAAAGTACCAGACTACCTTAGACAGATACTGGATAGCTATCTCTAGGATTATGTTCATCGGTACGATACGAAGGATGGACTTAGAGAGACGCGTTTGACGTCGGGAGTCACGCAGGGCTTTGCCCTTGGCCCCTACGAATGAAACCTGGTCTATAATGATCTTTTGGGCCTTTATATGCTTCCAGGGGTTAAGCTGATGGGTTTTGTTTACGACGTAGCTTTTTACGTCACAACGATATCTCGAGAGGAGGCCAAGTGCCAAATCCCGTGGGTGGTCGCGATAGTGTTGGAGTGGCTGCGAGATTACGGTTATGAACTAGCGGTTGACAAGACGGAGATGGTCGTCCATACCAGGTAAAGATGGTTCGGGGAAATTTTTTTGCCTCACCATTGTAGGTGAAGCAGTCTGCACAAGCACGGTTGTCTCACGGCTTTCTTTCTGGGAGTATATCAAGAGAGCAGTCAACAAAGCTGTCAAGGTTGTGGAAGAGCTTACACGGTTAATACTGAACGTTGGGAGCCCGCAGGAAGCCAAAAGAAGGCTTTTAGCGTTTGTCTTCAACTTAATACTACTGTACGGTGCGGAGGTGTGTGCAGATTTACTGGCAAGACGGTATGTACGAGAGCACCTTATGCTTACAGCATGGTCTCCTCTGCTGCTATTATGCTGATAGCACGAACGATTTCCATCATGATGCTTGCGCTGGAGTGGTGACAGAAAGTCAGGCTGGTGTGGGTAGATGCTCGCACGGATTGATATTAAGCCTTTGACCGTGGATGGAGAGAGAGCACGGAAAGGTCAATTATTACTTCGCCCAATTTCTCTCCAGGAATGATCAGTTTGATGCTTATTTTCATCGCGTGGTGGTGAAAGTATCCATCCAATAACCAATAATCACCTAGATGAGCTTACTGCCTCGCAAAAGATGATACCGTCGAACACATGTTGTTTGTGTGCGAGAGATGGCACTGTGAGCGCCAGCAGCTATGGGCCAGGCTCGGCGTGGCCCCCACTTCCGAAAATATTATCTCTGAGATGCTCTGCACTGAAGAGGGATGAAGGGTTATGGCCAGCTACATTGGGTCAGTGGTCCGCCAAAAGAAAGAAGAAAAAATAGCTGCCATGCGGGATCCTGGAGCCACTGACGAGGCAGCATGGATATTTTTTTTTTTTTTTTTTTTGAAATGTAGAACCATGCTGCGAAGGGTCTTTCTATTTATCAGCAAAGGTAAGCATTAAGTAGTTAATGGTGCTAGCAAAGAAAGCAGCCTACAATGGAGCACTAGAGAGCAAGTGCCAGTCTTCAGGGACCCCGAGTCCTTTTCAGGACTCGAGAGGATTGGCACCTCTCACAACTGGTGGTAAGCTTGCTCGTTGATGCTGTAAGACGCGATGGTCTCCCTGATAGCTTTACCCTGAAGTAATGCTAACGTAGTTCCAGGGTGGTGTATCAGTATCATGCCATTGCATACGTCTAAATTTGGTTCTTTTAAATCAACATTAAAGAAAAAATATTAAACATTTCTTTAACCTCTATATTTTTTAATAATTACGCTTTATCAGCTTTGAACCACAGCTTTACACAACAATCTTGATAAGAAAAGCCTTTTAATAATGTTATTAGAAAATACATCGACATGATATCAACAGACGAGGTAAAAGGGAGGCTAGCTGATACAGTCCAATGAAATAAAAGACAGCTTATCATCTACATTGAAGACAAGTTTTTAATATATACACTGGCGAAGAAATGGCCAACTCACCACACTTAACAAAAAATAATGCTACTTTCCTGGGATCTAGCAAAAAGAACTCTTCGCACTACAGCAAAAAAACGCCAACTGGATGTACTTACGTGAAAATAACGCTGTCTTGCTATGCTTAGGTGAAAAAAGGATATCTCTACGCATAATGACAATGACTGGTGTTTATTTTAAGTAGCAATCTGAAATAAAATGATTGTTAAGATAGTTACGTATCGTAATTACAATAAATGACTTATTGCATTTGCATAAACAAGAACTTTAATTATTTATTACATATGAGCATGAAAAACGTTACTTAGTTTCCAGTTCTAAATAAGTACTAATAGTTCATAAATTAAACAGAACTACTCGTCTAAGAAATACTACTTTAAACTGTCGTTTACTTATCCACGACAGTAAAGTAATGCTAACCCAACTTATTTGAAAAAAAAATTATTTATTTCATATTGCTTCTCTCTAAAAGATTAAGGTGACTTTTTTTAAAGACAACTACAAGATTTGAATTTTTCCCTACAAAATATATGTTTCCTTAAAGTTTCATTGGTATTTAATTTTACAACTTAATTTCAGACTGAGGGACAGTAGAGTATTTCTCATAGGCCAACACTTGCTGTCACTAGGCAAATACTTTTTTTCTACTGTGGAAGGAGTTTATTTTCTTAATTGAAAGACAAAAAAATTTTTTAAAGAAGCTAACACTTGGAATTGATAAGAACTTAGTTAAAAAGTTTATAACTTTTTTAGAAGCACTTGACAAAAACGTTGTAGAATTTTTTTATTTAAAAATAAGCCCAGTTATTGGAAAAAAATGTTTAAATGATAATTCTGAAACTTTTTAAGAGTTCAAGCAAATATAAGTTGAATAAATAATATTTCTTACAAATAATTACAGTTACAAGCGAGTCGTATTCCATGCCAAATAACACGTTGATGTAACCTTGGTTCATCCATGGATCTATGATACACTTGGAATCATCTATGTCTTTAGGCATACATATTCATAGGCAACTACCTGTTAAATATGGACAAAATTTTATTACAAAATCTGAATTAATAACAAACACTTTGGTTCATAAGAACATTTTTTTTAGTTTAAGAAATAATTAATTAGATCAAAGGTTTTTAACACTTAATTTTCAAAAGTTTAAATTTTGTTTGCTTTGAAATCATTAAAAAAAAAAAAATTTTAGAGAACATTTATTTTTGAACTACGCAAAGTTTGTTAAATTAGGCATGGTTATACGTGCACATGATCTTCAAATATTAAAAAAAAGCCATCTCCTCAAAAAACCAGTTGGACCATGAATAACGATGCTTACAAGTTTCCTACAAAGAAAAAGCCTTTGCAGTTCACAAAGAAAAGGTTGTTTAGTTGTATTAAAACATAACCTTTAATTCCGGAGATTCAAATATTTCTCTTCCAAATGTAGATAAAAAGTTTTTGAAAAGTTATGTCATATTTGCAAAATTGGAACAAGTGTGTAGAAATAATATATTTTTTTGCCAACTATAATTTTAAAAATTATTTTAATAACGTTATATAACTATCTACATGATACGGAGATGAACAAAAAATGACTATTTTCATTCATATACAATAATGTGTATACAATTTTAACCAGCAATTTCATTTTTAATAATTATTATGTCAGTGCACTTAGCTTAGTACTGGATCTTCATGGCCACAGTATGAGTGCTATATACTTTTTGGAACGCATTTCAATAAACATGCTTATAAAAACATCCATAGCTTCTAATCCCCTTACATTTTCATTTACAAACTCTTGCTCTCTCTCTTTACATTCATGCATATTTAAACTATTTTGAAAGTTCTTACTTCTAAAATATATTACATTTGATCTACCCCGTTTTTGATGTAAAAAATCTATAGGTGTACGTGAGCATGGTGAGTAAACGTAAGTTATGCATGGTGACCGTAGCGAAAAAGCGTTACGAAAAATATATAGATGTACATTGCATGCATAGTATACTGTACAGAAAAAGTGTGCAAATAATTAAGTAAAAAGAATCAAAGAACACGGCCAGGGAACTCCCCATCCCCTCTCTTACTCTTCGTGCATGCAGCAGGTATAGCTATAGATTAAAACAGTATAATGCCTATGCCTATAGATTACATACACAGGTAAACGCATAGTCCGACACACACCCGTAGTCAGGAAAAACAAAGTGCGTGTATCAAGTGGCTCAAGATATTTCACGCGCTCAAGCCTCTGTACCTAATACAATATTTGTATATCTAAAACGTACTTAGCTTAGCTTCGCATGGTTCAGTGTGTGCGTGTTTTCATGTGAAACAACAATGAAACGATCCATGTAATGGCACAATCTCCGGTTCAACGAGGCTCGGCTAGGCTCTCGTCTTTTTCTTCTCGCGCTTACTACTGCCTCTCTTTCGTTGGTAAAGTGTACTACCCGTATTATTGTAGCTATATAGAAAAGAATGTAAAAATTAAATATCACATATAGATTGTATATATAGTACTTACATACGAACGTACGCACATATATGTATTGTGTAGGTGTAAATAAAATTTTCGAATTATACTGACTCCAAGAATCGAGCTACATATTTATGATGAGTAGTCGGGAACTTTTTCGATTGTGCTATGCAGCACGCCAATCCAATTATTGCTCTTATTATTTATGGACACCAATCGAGCAACTTCTGAATGTGAAAATTGATCTATAATTGGGTGTTTTTCATATTATAAATAATTAAGCCCACAGCTTTTGAAAGAAATAGTTATGATTATTTTTTAGTGGTCTAACAATGTCAAAATTGTGTAAGACTATGTTTTAAAGTTTGTTTTAGTTATATCTTTTAACGGTTGAATATACAAAAAAAAAAAAAAAAATACCAACGTGTAGGGCGAAAAATTTTCTATTAATATGCACTTTTAATTTGGTTTCGAGAAGTGCAAAATAATAAGAAAAGAAAAATGCATTTTGGCAGCACCTGTAAAAGTAAGTGAGATAGAGAGAGCCATTGATAGTCGGCTCTCGCGATTGCTCTCTCTCTCTTTCTCTCTTTCGCTCTCTATTGTACTTATGCAGGTAGGCTTTTTTCGTTGCTTTTTAAAATATGTTGTGCTTATAAAATATGATTAATTAATATTAGAAATAGTTTTTTTTTTATCATTTTTTAAAATTTTCTTCTCTGTAAACAGAATTATTTTAAAATCTAAATATTTGACCATAATGCAAAATTTTCTCGGCTCCTTCCAACTGTGTTTATTTAAACTCCATCTTAATTTATTTTTAGTAAAGAGCCAATCCAATGATATTCGTGAACGTGCGCAAGTATGCACAGTAAACAGGTATCTAAAAAGAGACAGAGGGGCAGGAAAGTAACACACCCGAGCTTTTAATTAATGAATATACCTTTTAAGTTAAATTAATGAATATACCTTTATGTGGTTAGGTAGTATAGATACTATTCACCATTTATTATTGTTCTTTCTCGTTCTCGTTCTTTATGTGTTAATGAATAAAAAAAAATACCAACATTACTTGCTTCTTTTGAATCAATTACATTCACTTATCGAAATAGATATTTATAAATAAACTGTCTCTTTCATATAAAAATTTTAAATAAAGATTATTAATAGTAAAAAAAAGTACTTTTCCTACCTCGCGCATTTTTGAGAGGCTGGTGTGTGCTTGGTACAATAAATGTTGACTGTTGTCTTGCATTTCTATTATCCAATGGGTTGGGTGCCCCCGAAAGTTGGGTCTGCTAAAATGTTCATGCAAAATTTATGGATATCATTCATTGATTGTAATGCTACAATACCAAAAAATATCTTTGATAATTGGATCATTTGTTCTCAAGTCTTAGTATAATGATAATGCACCTCAATGAATTCCAAATTTTTTTTTAAATTTCCAAATTTCGCAATGCTTAAAGCTCCTGATTGTCTTCATTAATTTTTATCGGCTTATTCAATTTTAACTTCAAAATGTCCAGTAAATTTTTTATCAACTTTAATTTAGTTACAGCCTTTGATAAAACAACATACTAAGCTTAAGTAAAAGACTTTGTTACACTTTTTTGTTTTCGCGTCTTCCAATAAACTACATTAACTGAAAATCTGATTACATTGCCCGATATAGATTTTCTATCAGGACTGTAACCTGCCGAGTCTAAATCAAGAAAACAGTTGACTATATCTGCATTACTATTTTTCTTGTAATGAGGCTCAAATTTCTTGTTAGGTACACGTATTTCAAAATCCTCATCACGTACTTAAAATGCGTTTCATTATGACAATTTTGAAATCGACTTAAATAATTAACGCTATAACTTATATCAGGTCTCGTGCCCAAACTAATATAAAAAAGTTCGCCAATCAGGTTTCTATACTTTGAATCATTTTAAACTTCTTTTGCTTGTTCTAGCTTTAAATTAACTTCCATTGGTGTATCATATAGTTTGGCATTTTCTTGTTTGAACTTATTTGCCAAAGATTCCATATAACTTATCTCTCTCAAAAACATTACATTTTTCTTTACATTGTAATTAATATTTATTCCCAAGTAGTCCTTCACTAGACCCAAATCTTTAATGCAAAATCTTTTTGACAATTTCCGCTTAATTTCATTAATAGTCTTTTGACTTTTACAACAAATTAATAGATCATTAACAAATAAAATCATGTAAGCTTTATGTTTTCCATTACTCAAAGAATATAAGCAGTTGTCTACTTTATTATTTTCAAATCCTGAGTTTTTTATGAATTCATCAAAACATTAATACCAGGCTCTATGAATTTTTCTAAAACTGTACAATGCTTTTTGCAATTTACACACTTTATTAGGATTATTGTCAACACCCTGCAGTTGTTTGAATCATATGTCTGGATTAACTTTTCTATTTTAAGACGCAGTTTCAACATCTATCTGATTGATAATTAAACCTCCTTGGCAACAATACAATAACTGAATTTTCAAAGTTTGTATCTCAGCTACAGGAGAATGAATATCTTAAATAATTTCCTTTTTTTGAAATCCTCTAACTACTTACCTAGCTTAAAATTTGTTTTCATCCTTTTTTGAATAAACCCATTTTACATCAAAAACTTTTTATCTTTTGGCTTGTTAACCAATGCCCAAATCTTATTTTTGTTTAAACACTCAATTCTTTTTTTTATCGCATTTT